CGGGCAGCGCCACACACCTGCCCCGTGTGCCCGAGCGCTGCCCGCCCGCCGGCCCGGCCCGGGGGACGGACACCGCCCGCGCGGAGCTGACGGGACTAGTGCCTCAGCCGAGCTAGTCGCCAGGATTAGGTCAGCGCGACCCCCGCCAGCCTGGATTCTTCTCCGGCCCGGGAAGGGGGCAGCCGGGGGGGAAAGTGTGTTGGCGGGGGGGGGGAAGAAGTCTTTTCGCCCCTGCCCCAGGATTGAGAGAGGGAGGCCCAAGCCTGGCTCTGCCAAGAAGATCCATGTGGGCCACTCACCTCTTCAGAGGGAGGTAGAAGGGGGCTGGCAGACTAGCTGGGACCCTGGCAGGCCTGAAACACAGGGCGACTAACCACAGGAGCCCACTACTGAGGTCTGTTGTGAACAGGACTGCTTACCTGGCCAGGAAGGAAAAGCGTGTGGTCAAGGAAAGCAGTCATTTTTCGTCATAGCCAAAGCTACTAAAATAGATATAACCGTTGAAATTGTCCCGTCCCCTGTCCCCAAGTGAAGTATGGCCACTGGTTCAGCTTCTTCAGATAATAAAAATAGTGGGCTTATATTTACAGGGGTGTAGGTTGTCGCCATGTTGGTCTAAGGACATAGGCAGACGAGGTTCTTTGGTTGAATTTCATATCTTTTATTAGACCAACTTAAACAGTTGGACATATAGGGCTTATATTTAGCTTTCAGACTGGAGCAAGGAGGCCTGGCTCCGAGCAGCTGCTCCTTGGACCCGGACAAAGAGCAAAATTAGTCCCTGCACTCATAGGCTAAGCGCAGGCAGGCAGAAGGCCTGAGGCCAAATTGATTAAATCTTCACAGGTTAGTCTAAGCTGCGTCGATTGAACCGATAAGCAAGTGAACAGACATTCATTTCTGATCCCAGAAGTGCAGCCACATGCCTGCAGTGGCCCAAGCCAGGAGCTGGAGCATGCTTCTCAGCTGGAGCAGACACCTTGGGCCTAGGCTTGGGCATAGACTAGTCTTGGGGGGAGTTTTCAGGGGAAGTGGAAAACATCCCGGGATGCTGGGGGACTTGAGTTAACTTGAGTTAACTTGAATCTGGAGCGGGTCTGGGACAGAAGTTCAATAAATCTGTTCATCTGATACTACATTCATCCAGGTTTATCTTAAATCAGTTTCAGCCATTTTGAAAGTGGTTTACGTGCACTGAACTTCTGTTGTGTTACAGATTTGAACTGGCTTCTGATCACTTATACCAGTTTGTGTGTCATTTCTGTTCCTAGCTGTAAAGACAAAAAAAGGTGAGCAGACTGCAGGGGAGCCTCTGCTGAAGCACCACTACATTCTGCAACAAGTGACAGCTGTGAGTGAATCATTGTCATTTCTGGTACATTTATCATTTAGTAATGCATTTACCTTTAGTAATGATGGAAAGATGAAAGTATGTCTCAAAATAATACAGGTATTTGAGCAATATAGTATTTTCACTGTTTTTTTTTTAATGAGTTTCACAAGGATGTTAAATGTTCCTTGGGAACTGAATATTCAAGATGGTGGCAAGGTCTGTTTCCCTCTCCTCTCCCCAGCAAGTCAATCCTGAACTTGTTTTGCATGGCAAAAAATGAATTGGGGCATGATCAACTTTAATCAGTCTTTCCTGGTATCAGATTGATTGATACATCAAACACTAGTCTAAATAAAAGCTTAGCATTGAAGTCTATGATTGAGTAATTGTGAGTTGGATTGCATATCTCAATCATGTGAGCAATCTATACTGACACCCAGAATTTTGGAGAATACTGAGCTATAAATTGGATGGCAGCATACATATTACCTTAATGAAGGAAAGACAAAGAAAGGAAAGGAAACATAGAGTTTATTATGAAGGGTTACAAAATTGGTCCAAGTTTTGTTTAAATCAGGATTGTATTTCACAATTTTTCAAACAAATTTTGCCTCATGCTCAATGGTTTTAGTACTAACCTACCAGTTCAACTTTAAACCATAAAATAATTACCCCCTCTGCTTACCACTAACGGGCACAAAATGCTTCAAAAGTCCCTGATTTGGGGCCTTCCAGTAATCTTCTTTAAACCCTGTTATATTAAATTTAGTAATTAACCAAACAAAAGTCCTCTAAAAATCTCTTAAATCTATTCCCTGATTTGACATGACTGAGCAGTTTGCCCTTAAACCTGGTCTTTTGAAAGACTAGGAAACAAGGAACAACAGCATAGCTGTAAATTTCCATTTTCAGGCATAATACATGGAAAAAAACAATAGGAAATTAAAAAGCTAGCACTTTCAATGGAAAATGGAGTCATTACTATGACTCAGAGAAATGACTACTTTCTCATCATAATCTCCCATTTCTTAATTATAGGTAATAACAATTTTGTTTTACATCTGGGACATGAGTAGCTGTTTGTTTATGAATAGCACATACGTCTATACCACCTTGCAGCCTTCAAGACAAATTTAGATCTCTCAACTTCTGCAAGACACTAATAAAATCTTTCAGAAAGATATTTTCTGCTTTAAAATGAAATCAGCCTGTACGAAACAATCTTCTTAACTCATTCCTTAAGAATCCAGTGTCAAGTTATGTGACTTGTACTTCAATCCAGGCATAAGAAAGATAATCTTTACTAAATCCATTTTCTTTCATGTAAGCAGTTTATTGCCTATCATGTTTCCATCTCTCAAAATATTAAAATGCATATCCGGATAGATAATCTCATTCAGAGTTTGCATGTTCTGAAAAATGTATCTCCTCATAAAAAGTTCTGTTAATGTTAATATGTAAAAAAAGACTCCACTGTGGATTGTTTTCACCCCAACAGTTGGCTCTGGCATTGCAATACCTAACTCTAGGTTCCCTGCCATTTTCTGATACCCTGAGCATATGGGTGGTTCCTGGGCTGTGGCAATGGGGGTGCAGCCACTTCCCCACACCCCCTGCCCCTTCAGCTTTGTGGCATGTACACAGTAAAGAAAACTCATTGTGCATGTGCCACAAAGCTAGAGGAGGTGTGACTGAAGCTCCTTTCTGTGATCTGGGGTGTCAGTGATCTCCCAGTGCTCCCCAGCATGTCAGTGCAGCTGTTGCCGATTCTCCACATGTGCTGTAAGCAATATGAGCTCTCTGCCTGGTTGGCATGGGATCTGCCCAGAGTCCCTGCTTTCAGCTTTGGAGCCTGCTGCTCTTTGTTCTTCCATTCTCTCCTCCCCTGCCCAGCCACCTGCTCTGAATCTGTCCCTGTCTGAATGCCAAGGTACCATACATGGGAAAAATTAGGCACCCAGGAAGGGCTTTTCAGAAACCAGCTGTGTAGGGACCCCCAAGGCTAGTTAGCCATAA